GAGAGCTCTAAAAAACAGTTAAAGGGATCCCGCTACTAAACATAGAGGTATGAACAATATGTTACTGAATGATCAATGGGTTACAGAAGACATAAAGGAGGAAATCAAAAAATTCTTAGAGATAAATGAAAATACAGACACAAGATATCGGAATCTATGGGACACAATGAAAGCAGTTTTAAGAGGGAAATTCATCGCCTGGAGGTCATTCCTCAAAAAAAGGAAAAACCAACAAATAAATGAGCTCACACTTCATCTCAAAGCCCTAGAAAAGGAAGAGCAAAACAACAGCAAATGTAGCAGAAGGCAAGAAATAATTAAAATCAGAGCGGAAATCAATGAAATTGAAACAAAAGAAACTATTGAAAAAATTAACAAAACTAAAAGTTGGTTCTTTGAAAAAATAAATAAGATCGACAGACCCTTAGCCATGCTAACGAAGAGAAGAAGAGAGAGAACTCAAATTACTAACATACGGGATGAAAAAGGCAATATCACAACAGACGCTCCAGAAATACAGAAGACAATTAGAAATTATTTTGAAAACCTATATTCCAATAAAATAGAAGATAGTGAAGACATCGATAAATTCCTTAAGTCATATGATTTGCCCAGACTGAGTCAGGAGGATACTCACAACTTAAACAGACCAATATCAATAGATGAAATAGAAGAAGCAATCAAAAGACTTCCAACCAAGAAAAGCCCAGGACCGGATGGGTATACAGCGGAGTTTTACAAAACCTTTAAGGAAGAATTAATACCAATACTTTTCAAGCTATTTCAGGAAATAGAAAAAGAGGGAGCTCTGCCAAATTCATTCTATGAGGCCAACATCACCCTGATTCCGAAACCAGACAAAGACACCTCAAAGAAAGAAAACTACAGACCAATATCTCTGATGAACCTAGATGCAAAAATCCTCAATAAAATTCTGGCGAATTGGATACAAAGGCACATCAAAAAAATTGTGCACCATGATCAAGTAGGATTCATCCCTGGGATGCAAGGATGGTTCAATATACGGAAATCAATAAATGTTATTCACCACATCAATAGACTTAAAGATAAGAACCATATGATCATCTCAATAGACGCAGAAAAAGCATTCGACAAAGTACAGCATCCCTTTATGTTCAAAACATTAGAAAAACTAGGAATAACAGGAACTTACCTCGACATAGTAAAAGCTATCTATGCTAAGCCTCAGGCTAGCATCATTCTCAATGGAGAAAAATTGAAGGCATTCCCCCTAAAATCTGGAACAAGACAGGGATGCCCTCTCTCACCATTTCTGTTCAACATAGTTCTCGAAACACTGGCCAGAGCAATTAGACAGACGAAAGAAATTAAAGGCATAAAAATAGGAAAGGAAGAACTTAAATTATCAGTATTTGCAGGTGACATGATTCTATACCTAGAAGACCCAAAAGGGTCTACAAAAAAACTACTAGAACTAATAAATGAATTCAGCAAAGTGGCAGGATATAAAATCAACACGCATAAATCAAAGGCATTTCTGTATATCAGCAACAAAACTTCTGAAACGGAAATGAGGAAAAACACTCCATTCACAATATCCTCAAAAAAAAAAAAATAAAATACTTGGGAATCAACCTAACAAAAGAGGTGAAGGACTTATACAATGAAAACTACAAAACCCTAAAAAGAGAAGTAGAAGAAGATCTTAGAAGATGGAAAAATATACCCTGTTCATGGATAGGCAGAACTAACATCATCAAAATGGCGATATTACCAAAAGTTCTCTATAGGTTTAATGCAATGACAATCAAAATCCCAATGGCATTTCTTGTAGAAATAGATAAAGCAATCATGAAATTCATATGGAAAAATAAAAGACCCAGAATAGCAAAAGCAATTCTAAGCAGGAAGTGTGAATCAGGTGGTATAGCGATACCGGATTTAAAACTATATTACAGAGCAATATTAACAAAAACAGCATGGTACTGCTACCAAAACAGGTGGGTGGACCAATGGTACAGAATAGAGGACACAGAGACTAATCCACAAAGCTACAACTATCTTATATTTGATAAAGGAGCTAAAAGCATGCAATGGAGGAAGGATAGCATCTTCAACAAATGGTGTTGGGAAAACTGGAAATCCATATGCAACAAAATGAAACTGAATCCCCTCCTCTCGCCATGCACAAAAGTTAACTCAAAGTAGATCAAGGAGCTAGATATCAAATCAGAGACTCTACGTCTGATAGAAGAAAAAGTTGGCTCCGATCTACATATTGTGGGGTCGGGCTCCAAATTCCTTAATAGGACACCCATAGCACAAAAGTTAATAACAAGAATCAACAAATGGGTCTTACTTAAACTGAAAAGTTTTTTCTCAGCAAGAGAAACAATAAGAGAGGTAAAGAGGGAGCCTACATCATGGGAACAAATTTTTACTCCTCACACTTCAGATAGAGCCCTATATCCAGAGTATACAAAGAACTCAAAAAATTAAACAATAAGAAAACAAATAACCCAATCAACAAATGGGCCAAAGACCTGAACAGACACTTCTCAGAGGAGGACATAATCAATCAACAAGTACATGAAAAAATGCTCACCATCACTAGCAGTCAGAGAAATGCAAATCAAAACCACCCTAAGATACCATCTCACTCCAGTAAGATTGGCAGCCATTATGAAGTCAAACAACAACAAGTGCTGGAGAGGATGTGGGGAAAAGGGTACTCTTGTACATTGCTGGTGGGACTGCAAACTGGTGCGGCCAATTTGGAAAGCAGTATGGAGATTCCTGGGAAAGCTGGGAATGGAACCACCATTTGACCCAGCTATTCCCCTTCTCGGTCTATTCCCTGAAGACCTTAAAAGAGCATACTACAGGGATACTGCTACATCGATGTTCATAGCAGCACAATTCACAATCTCTAGACTGTGGAACCAACCCAGATGCCCTTCAATAGATGAATGGATAAAAAAAATGTGGCATTTATACACAATGGAGTATTATACAGCACTAAAAAATGACAAAATCATGGAATTTGCAGGGAAATGGATGGCACTAGAGCAGATTATGCTTAGTGAAGCTAACCAATCCCTAAAAAACAAATACCAAATGTCTTCTTTGATATAATGAGAGCAACTAAGAACAAAGCAGGGAGGAAGAGCAGGAAGAAAAGATTAACATTAAACAGATACATGAGGTGGGAGGGAAAGGGAGAGAAAAGGGAAATTGCATGGTAATGGAGGGAGATCCTCATTGTTATACAAAATTACATATAAGAGGTTGTGAGGGGAATGGGAAAATAAACAAGGAGAGAAATGAATTACAGTAGATGGGGTAGAGAGAGAAGATGGGAGGGGAGGGGAGGGGAGATAGTAGAGGATAGGAAAGGTAGCAGAATACAACAGTTACTAATAGGGCATTATGTAAAAATGTAGATGTGTAACCGATGTGATTCTGCAATCTGTATTTGGGGTAAAATTGGGAGTTCAAAACCCACCTGAATCAAATGTATGAAATATGATATGTCAAGAGCTTTGTAATGTTTTGAACAACCAATAAAAAAAATAAACATAGAGGTAAATGCTAATGAGAAAGCTATTTTATAAAAACCAGGTGAAATTACATATCTTAACTACAGCTCAAGGGGACACCTGTGTCATTAACAAAAACTAAATGTTGTCCATATCTCTAACAACTTGGCTAATGTTTCTAAAGCCTTAAATAGCTGCAGATTGCTGGAGTTTGTGTTCAAACCAGTGGCATGCTGGACCCCATCTTAAGCTTTAATGAGTTACTATCATCATGGTTTTCAGAGACTGGCTGAGATACTAATTGTTTTGATGCTAGTTGTTTACAAATGTGTCATGTTTTTCTGTTGTATTTATTGTTGTCCTAACATGATCCCTGCCCTATGTATGCCTTGTCCAGTCACCCTACCAACTTTCACCATGGACCTTTGGACTTCCCTGATGCTAAATACCCTTAACTGTCCATGCCCCACCTGATAAAGAACAAGGACTTCTGGTGACTCCCCCTCAACTTTGCCCTCTCCCAGCAAGAAGTTGTTTGGAGATGTCTCTGCCCATTTTTCCATAGAAATGCAATGTAGAAATTGACAGTTGGGGAGTTATAACACTGGTCCACTTTATGCTCTAAATATAGCCTACTGCTCTGCCACTGCAACTTATTTTGTAAAGGACATGTTTCTTCATCTTCTCTTCCTCCTCCTCCATCTCTCCTGCTCCCTAATCTTAGGGAAAACAGAATTACCTTTCTTCCCCATCCTAGACAGAGTTATCTATCCTTGAGCACTCACCCACCACAGGACAAAAGTAATTCAGACTTTGGGGATGGCACCAGAAAACCTCAGATATGAAGATCTTCCAAATTAACAAGTGAATTACAGCTTCCAACAGAGAACTTGTGGAATGTAGCCTTTGAATCACCTTTTTAAAAGACCCCTGCTCCCCTGATGGGCAGAATCACAGCCTCTGTGACAGGAGTTCCCTTTGTTTCTCCTTTGCTAGCAAAGCAATAAAGTTTCTGTTTCCCTTTTTTTACACACAGAAAAAAATTTCTCCCCTGGTTGTCAGGTGCAGTGGCACATGCCTATAATCCCAAGGACTTAGGACGCTGAAGCAGGAGGATCACAAGTTAGAGACTTAGCAAGGCCCTAAAAAGACCCTGTCTTAAAATTAAAATAAATAAATAAAAATGGGTAGAGATGAGCTCAGCAGTAGAGTAACATGGCTCCAATCCCCAGTACAAAAAAAAAAACAAACAACAAAAAAAAACACTTCCCTCCCTGATGGGTATTTGTGTTTTCTAAGTAATAAGCTTTTTAGTACAGTTTTATATTAACAGTAAAACTGAGCAGAAAACACAGAGATTTACCACACACCTTCCATCCCAGTCCCTTCACACCCACCACATTCCCTACTATTGACATTGCACACCAAATTCTGGTTTAAAAGATGTGTAAATACTACCAAAGGGGCAATTTAGATTACCTGTAACACCACAGAACTGTGGGTATTGCTGGTAAAGATGCGAGTGGTTCCTGCCTTGGAAGACTGTAAATGGGAAGAAAGGCCCATTTCGCTGCTTCCAAGGGATAATTTCATGTGTTGGTCTTCCTCTTCCACAAGAGATCTGAAAAGTTTTTAAAATCAGAAAAGAAAAATTAAAATGTGTACAATTCACAATAATGAAATTACTTAGAAAAAACATCACTATTGCCAATAATCTTACTATGGAATATGCCAAAGTCTGTTTCACTGTATTTAAGGCTCATATCACTCTGTATCATACAAGAAATATATATTTATAAAATGTTTTGTAAGGGCAGAAAATATTGATAAGAACTGAAAAGTCACTTAAAAGATCATTGGAAACTGTAGTCATATGTGCTTTTTATTGCCATAGTATTTGCTTTTGATATTTTGCTGCCCAGACAGTAATGCCATGAAGTTATATTATTTTCAGTTAAGTTTAATTTAAAACATCTAATTTTAGAAATTAGAAATTTTAGAAAATTAAAACTAATAGGTACCAACAGTCACTACATGTCAGATCCTTGCCAAAAATTTTAGAAATATGAGCTCATTTAATTTCTTAAAATAATCTGATGGAATAGGTATTGTTATTATCTCCTTTTTATACAGATAGTGATAACAAGCAAAAGTGGGTTAAAATAACCAATCTAAGATTACAATGTTATTAAAATGATCAAGTCAGGATTTGAATCTAGGTTTAGTCTGATTCTAACTCCAAAGCCCCAAAGATTAACTATATTAATATATGGCTTCCCTTTCTGGTATTAACAGTTCTAATCAACACCAACTGAACAAAATTTTACACATGAAATAATATCTTTTTCTAGCAGTATCTCTCAGTATGGGACTATTTGGCTTATGGTCTAGTAGCATATCCATCTTGTCAAAGAAATGAAAAATAAAATAACACAATATAAATTACATATGTAGTATAACAAAAATTTTCTCAGAGGCCATAAGAAAAGGTTAGAGAAACTGTAGTGAGCAGTTCACTTGGTTGCCTGAAGAATATGACTGTATATTTGATAATTAAACAGCTCCACATAGGTTACAGTAAAAAAAACTGTTTCTGGATCACCAGTCTTAAGAGTACAGAGGCCATAGCTCTGAACTAGCTTGTGCATTCATAATACAGACTACTAAAATTGACAGTAGGGGAAAAGGAGAATGGATTTAACTCTGCTTCACTTTTTCCTATTTATCTGTAATTTCCTAAATTTTTGAATTATTTGCTTTTCTGATTGGACTACAGTTTGGACTAAAAAGTACTTTTTCTAAAATACTATAAACTGAGTTAATCAATTTCAACAGGAAAAAAAAGCTTTAAGATAATAGCATATTTTATATAAAATCCTGTTTGAATTCTGATACCAACCAAATAGTTTTAAATCCTGCAATAGTTAGCAAAAATCCTGGTCTTAAGGGTGACATTTACTTTTCTAAATTATATTAGAACCATAGTATAACCAAAATGAATCAATAATATATAAACATGCTTTATTCAACATTCATAGATATTTAATAAAAAATAATTCAAATAAGATTTTAATAAGCATAAAAGAAAACAGATACAGCCTTCCACCAGAGTTTCAGAAATAGCTTTACAATTAAATTATATATATATATGACATATATTATACATATCATCACAGATACTTCTCAATGGCTTTTGTGGACAGACATTTAAAATTACAGAATCAATTGGAAAAGTCAAAAAATAGATTGATGGTGAGTAGTATCTCTAATCAGAAGATTTCTATTCATTGGGAATTATTTTAATAGGATATTCAAGCAGACTCTTTTATTAGGATCTGTATTTTCTACACAGAGCCTGGCATGAAAAGCTTAATATATGTCCTCTGAATGAATATAGAATCTCATTTCTGTGGATCATTCCAAAGACATTTCTTTATCATGCTGTGCTTAAATGACTATCAATTATCATTTTTATAAAACTGCAGATGTAAAAGGGATGGGGTAAAGCTGAAACAACATTGCCCTCATGACATATCCTAGAAATTGCTTATTTGAATAAACTATAGATAACAACTTGTTTACTTGTCATTTGTCTCATGCTCTTAAAATTGAAAAGCAGAATGTGAAAATGCAGCCCTTTCTTGGCAATATAATGTAGCTGGCTTTCTAATTAATTACTTCAAAAGCTGAAGAAGCCTTCAGTAAATTCATCTTCTTTATGACTTTTTGTCAGTATCTTTTGACTTTTTAACATTCAAAACACTCCCTATTATTTCTGCATCAGTAACAGTACATGACATGTCAACCTTCTTAGCAGATTCAATATTCCCTTCCATCTCCTTTTCATGAAGTTTATTGACTAGATGTGAAGAGCATTGTTCCTCAACATTGCAAAGAGGCAACACCTCTCTGTAACCCCAGGCCACAATTATATCAGACTATGCTTAAAGGAATGATTATCTGAGTAATTCCATGAAACAAAAAAAAAAAAAAACATTTAAAAAGAAAATCTTATTTTTCTTTCAATTCATATGATTAAAAACAACATACAGGCCAGTGGTTCTCAATGAAGGGAGGAGGAGTAAAAGGCATTTTGCTGGCCCCTCCACACATACATTCAGCTATGTTTTGAGGCATTTTTCATTATAGCAACTGGGAGAGGGGCATGCAATTACTGTCATCTCTTGGGATCCTACTAAACACTTTATAGCACACAGGACAGTTCTGTACATCAAAGATATTCTCAGGAAAAAATATCTACAGTGCTAAGGATGAGAAACCTTGATATAGAGAGACTGAGTACCTCATGAAATATTTCTCAATTTCATGTTTTAAACAATTCCCCAGTCCTCTGGCTGATTCCATGTAGTTATGTTAGCAATACAAAAACACAGTATGATTATTAATTACCACTAACTCTCCCATGGCTACCAAATAGAGTACCTATGCTGTCCTCATATCCATCAATTGAAAGATCAAGTGTTTACAGTAGATAAGCAGATAATGGCTTTTAAGTTTATAAGATAATTATGTAGCAAAGCTTTCATTTTATATAAGCTCATGTAAAAACAATGATTTATTGATTCTGCTTAAAACAATTGTTATTTGGATCAATATGAAGTTTAGAATGTAGTGAATCCTGTCCCAATACTCCCATTTCATCAACACTACAAAATTATTCAGGGGAAAGACTATGTTCATCAATTTTCTTTCTAAAAATTAAATTTCTCTTTCTTCCTACAACATTAAAGTCTGCATATGTCTGCCAAGACACTCCTATCCATTGGACACATGCTATTTTCAAAGCAATGACCAACCCCAGAGCACAAAATAATCTTTCACAAAAATGTGCATGCATCAGTCAACTGTGCTTACTCAGAGAAAATAATAACTTTTTTTGAAGAGCATTAGGTTACACATAGAGGCACCCCCAGAACTGCAATCACATACTATGGCATTTCTTTGCATTGTTGTTTGAAGACAAAGGGGGAAAACATTTTAAGCAACTGTCGTTTGTTAACAAAATGATGCCAACATTGTAATCTTGCCTCAGAATTTACATATTTTAACAATTACCCCAAGAGAAATATATGTAAATGATATGAGCACACAATTCGCAAACATGAAGTACAAATGGTTAACATAAAATGGTTCAACTTCATCAGTATTCCAGAATATGCAAATTAAAACAAAGATTCTATCTTTAAACCTATAAAATTATCAGAGCAGAGCAGAAGACATTCTTTCAAATTTCTAGTGCAGACATGTATTAAGCCACTACTGTCTACATGGAATGTTCATCCAAACGGATATTTGAAAAGAAAATTTTAAAATCACCTAATGGACAAATCTTTTTTTAAATTTTTATTTTTATAGCAAACATCATGACATTGAAAGATTTTATGCTGCATCCGTGTCCTGGCATGTGGGTCACAGTGAGAGTGCTCTGTCAATCTGTTTCAAATATATTTTCTACAAAGAATAGTTATGTAGAAGTTTAATTTGTTAGTGATTCTATAAAGAATGATACATTCTTATAATTTACTATAGCAAATTAACTTGTCAAATAAGGAAGGGAAGAGTACCTCTTAATTGCATTTGAGTCCAAAGTCCAAATAATTTCCCAATGCCCCAAGCAAAATCTTCCCAAATCCACTATATCCAGTACTAACACCAATATATGTTATATAGAAAGGCAGGTCAGGTCAAATTTCATTGGGAAGGAAAGGGAAACTAAATTTTAGTGCTTCTTGAAATTATTAGTTTCAAAAATACAGGGAAACATAACTTTTCTTAGTAGAGGCTGTGTATGCCAACTCATGCATTGTCACATTAGCTTCTAGCTCACACCAAATAAATGAATCAGAGAAAAGTAAAAATGCAAAAGTATACGAACAACATCTTTATCTTTTTTTCTATTTAGTTACCAATTGGTTTCTCAGTGCATCCTTTTGCTTGCCACCATTTCCTTACAGAGGTTAAGTCTAACAATGTCTTCTAATAACACGATTTCACTGTAACAAAAGAATAGGGTCTCCTGAGTTAGTATCTGAAGTTATTATACAAATATTTTAAGCTCCCAGGTTAATATAATTATCACACCTGAAAGTTACTACCAGTGCTTTGGTATACAAAAAGAGAAACAGCAACAAACAAAACAAATAAAGCCAGGAATGGTTTAACAATACTACAAAACAGGTGGGTTAATCAAGGAACTCACTCATGCTTTCCACCACCCATACCCCAAGAAAATAAAAAACATATTTCTCACACTCACAATTTAAAAAGAAAATCAAGAAAAAGGTTTTCTTCAAAGAAGTACTCCCCCTCCATTTGTTTTTCTGCTCTGAAACAGAGAACTGTCTGCTAGCAGCAGCATTTGCTAAATGAAACATTTCTTGAGATAAAGTTGCATGGCAGGTGGAGAAGAAATTTTGCCACCTGTTCACACAGTCATTTGAATTTGAGTGCTAAATCTGTCAAGGTATTTCCTTCCACCCTTGAGAAATGAATTAAAAACTTGAGATGATAGAAATCATTTCCATTGTTTTTCAAATAGATTCAAACTATGCATACATCATTGAATTCTAAAGATATTAATAACTTTTCTATTGTCCTTCA